TGCTGTTGCTGCTGTTGTAGTGTGTTGCTGCTGTTGTAGTGTGTTGTAGTGTGTTGTAGTGTGTTGTAGTGTGTTGTAGTGTGTTGTAGTGTGTTGTTGTAGTGTGTTGTAGTGTGTTGTAGTGTGTTGTTGTTGTTGTTGTTGTTGTTGTTGTTGTTGTTGTTGTTGTTGTTGTTGTTGTTGTTGTTGTTGTTGTTGTTGTTGTTGTTGTTGTTGTTGTTCTTGGCGGTGGTAGCGCTGGTGGGTGGTTGTGCGTTGTGGTGTGGGTGCTGGTGGGTGGCGGTGTTGGATTCGTTTTTGGTGCTTGTTGGTTTGATTGTTGGTTATTGAACGGCTGTTGTTGTTTGATGTTGTTTGCAGTCGTCGTTGTTGTTGCTGCTGCTGTTGATGTTGCTGTTGGGATTGTGGTCATCGTCGTTGTTGCGGTGGTGCGGAGGCTTGTGGTGGTCGAGATGGTGGGGGCAGTCGTTGTTGTCAGGGTCGTAGTTCTCTTCGTTGGTGATGGTGATGGTGATGGTGATGGTGATGGTTATGGTGGTGGCGGTGGCGGTGGTGGTGGTGGTCATCGTTTCGTTGGTGATGGTTGATGGTGCGAATGTGTAAATGTTGGCGATGGTAACGAGCCTTTCCTGAGCTGAAGTTGGAAGTGCCGTTGGCTGTGTAGCCGCGTGGCCGCTGTTGCCAGTATTGCTTTGTCTCTCTTGCACTCGTTGCTTTGGACATGTCTCCCTCGTGCTGATTCTTGTGGGCATCTCGCCCACCACAGCCCCTTGGCTTGTTTGTGGCTGCGGGTGCTGTGACCAGGGCTGTGGGAATAGTTTGGGTCAGAGTAGTTTCAGGAAGCAGCAGTCTTGGCCATGGCTATTGCAGTCGCAGTTCTGGCAGTTTTCGCACTAGCAGCAGCAGCATCAACATTGTTGGCAGCAGCAACAAGGTGCAGAGAACACAGCGGCAGCCAGGAGCAGAAGAGTCTTGCAGCAAAAGCAGTAGTTGCAAAACAAATTTGTGTGTTGCAGATACGGGCCTTCGACTGCCAGCACCTCCTATCTATGGGGACGCTCGCAGCTATGCGGGCTGGAATTTTGCCTTTGGCTGGCATGTTCAAAGCCACAAGCAGCAGCATGCAGCCTGCATAAGCATAATGCGTGGGCTTTTGCAATCGTGTAGGCAGCCTTTGCAGCGGTTTTTCCGCACAGGAGGCTAGCAGAAGTACTCCATTGGTAGTAGAGTTGGTTGTTGAGAAGTGGTAGTCGTTGCATTTTTAGTGCTTGTGGTGGTAGGGCACGTGGTGTCAACAGCATGAATGATTCATAGCATCAGCGACGCAAGTAAATGGAAGGCGTTTCTGTAGCACGGCTAGTTGCTACAGGGGCATCAGTATCTTCAGAAGTATTAGCGCTGCTGGCTGCATTGTTGCAAGGCTCATGCTGGTGCAAAAGTGTTGTCATTGCCAGCCATCACGCCCCCCATGGCCAAGGCTTGCAGGTGGTGGTGCTTTGCTGTGCAACTGAAGATGCCCAAGCCTCAATCTTTGTTCGCCCCCGACTCACGAAGGGCAACAGTCATCCTGAAACAAGCTGAATTAATAATGATAGGCAGCGCCCTGGTGACGGGCACATGTGTAAGCCGACTTCACCGAGGAAACGTTCGTGCGGTTTGCTGGAGCGGAATGGACGGAGGCTTTCAACAAGACAACTTCTGATGAGGAGCCAATCGCCCGCGCTTTGAAGGCTCAGCCATGTTCGACCCTTGAACACAGTAAGGGCAATGCACTGCTGATGGGATGCCTCCAGTACGAGCTTGCTCCACTCGAGGAGATCCAAGGCATTTATGTGAAGGACAACGCCAGAGTGGGTATCTTAGCTCATCAGTTGCCCATTGAGCTGAAGCCAGCATGGGGCACCTGGGGAGAGGCATAGAACCCAGGGCCAGCAGGCATGCGTCATTGGCAGTGATCTTCAGGCTGTGCGGAATTACTGCGGCGAGGATGCCCTGCCAATTCTGCAAGGATGGGTCAGGGGCCCAAGTGCGTCAAGTGCGTCAAGCGCAGGATGTGGGCCTTGTCCGGAACATGAGGTCGCAGCCATTGAGAAAGGCGAGTTTGTGCTTCTCGCAGTGCTGCCCCGAGAGAAACAGCCGTATAGCAAGAGCAAGGTACGATGAGAGACTTTCTGAGTCGAAATCAACCAACATGAAGCTCATCATTTATGCATTCTCGGAATTTCTCATGCTCGCAGTCGCTGAGGCGGTTGATGTAGATGCCCAGCTGATGCAGCAGGCTAGCGAACGGCTGGCAGTGTTGCCTGCATCAGCAAAACGAGCTACTGAACCCGGATTTATCCGGAGTACCACGCAAACAAAAAGAGGTGATTTATTGGTTCTCAAACTGGGCTCGGGTCGTTGCGGGTGGCACACGCGAACATGGGCCGCACCAAAGCCCGCCCATCCGCAGTGTTTGAAGCAAAGCCGAGCCGCCAAAGCACCAGGCAAAAGGCAAGCCCCAGGCCCCAAGTGGCCATCGCTGTTTGAATGTTGCACACCAAACTTGAAACTTGAGACCTCTTTTTTGCTTCGGACTTTGCCTTTTTTGGGGGCTAGGGGAGGTGGGGCAGGGTCTCTCTCTCTCTCTCTCCTCCTCTCCCTCTCCCTCTCTCTCTCTCCCTTTGTCTGTCTTTTCTTTATCTTGCTTGCTTTTGCTCGTCTTTTCCTTTGTCTCTCCTTCTCTCTGTTTCCATTCTTAGCGGTGTTCATGAAATGGCCGAAGATCCCCAAGATCCCGAAGACGCCGCGCATCCTGAACATCTCAAGGGAAAGCACAGCTTGTTTTGGACTGGTTTTGAATTGGTGTTGTTTTGGTCGAGGGTTGGATTAGAGTGGCTTTAGAATTGTGTTGGGGCTGCCACAGTTCATTTCGGTTTTTGGATTGGTCTAGGGTTGGATCTGGGGCGGGGTGGTTCAAGGGCCGGTTTAGGTTGGGTTACAATTGGTTTATGGCCCGGGTTTCTCTACAGAAGGTTTACATAGAGCTGGTTTATTGTTGGCTTAGGGCAGGCTTACGGCAGTTGGTTTAGGGTTGCTATAGGCTTGGTTTCGGAGAGGTTCAGGGCTGACTTCTGGTTTTGGTTACTTTAGGGTACATTGGTTAGGGCTGGTTGGGGTGGTTTGCAGCTGGTTTGGGCTTGGTTTGAGTTTGGTTTGAGGTTCAGTTACAGTTGGTTCCGAGTGGCTTCAGGATTGTTCAGATTTCATTTATGTTGGAGGGATGGTGCGCGTTTGGCTGAGGGTAGGTTTTTTGGGCAGGGATAGTTTCTGACTGGTTTATTTATTTGTGATTGTTGTACGCAAGCGTATGACGCTTTCTGAATAGGGGCATAGCGAGGCACTAAGTGCCGAACGCCTCTAGGAGTTTTTGTTCTGGCTCATGAGGACCCTCAGAACAGTCACTTGTGGTACATTCTTGGCATTGCCTGCAGTTGTGCATGCGGCTGGCTTGCAAGATGGGGCTCTCGAGATGTGGTGGTGACTAAGCATGTGCATGCTGCGAGAGCAACCTTACAATTTGGGCATGACATCCCGCAGTTTTCCAGCGCAAGTCGCAGTAACCATGTCTTTTGCTGGTTCTGCTGCAGTATTTAAGGCAAGGGCTGCTGAGATTGGGATTTCAGCCGGTGACATTGCAAAGATGGAGGGGATAAGCACAATGGCAATTTATGCTTTTTCGTGCAATTACTCCCCGAGTGGCTCTGATGACGGCCCCTTCATGACAATGCTTTCAAAAGTCCTTGGAGGCCCCCCCAGACATGCAGCAGACGGCATGTTTCAGGCGGTTGTTCGCTGAATCTTTCAGCACAGTTGCGGTGGACATCAAATCCCAGACTGAGGCCACTGATGAAACCCCGGTCAAGCGCCTGGCGCCGCAGACAGGGCGCAGAGATTGGCTGACCAACAGGCCAAACTCACAGGCCTTCGGCTGAGAGGTCAGCTGGAACAAGGGGATGCCCTGGTGGAGGAGTGATTGTGTTTCAAGAGATCACGAGCTGGCCACGGGTCAGAAAAAGGACCCTTTGGTTCGCTTTGATTCTTCTGGCACGTTGAACAAATCTTCCCAGGTAGCCTGTGACGCCCATTCCGAGATGTCCGTCAGGTACTACGTTATGCGAAGAGGCCTGAGCCTCGCGCAAGCCAATGTGATTGCTTATTCGAACCATGATGTCCTCTTAGAGAGAAGCTTTTCGAATACCGCATGCAAGACCCCCCACCTGGTTTTGCACGTGTCAGCATGAAGCAGCTGGAGCTAGCAGATCGGAAGTTCTAGATGCTCCTTGCCGAAAACACCAGGTCAGGAACCAAGGCCAACGCTAAAGGCCGACCGTGTGATGTGCATTTTCAGAAGTGCCTGGGCTCCACTGAGTTTCTCACCCTGTTGCAGCCCAGATTTTCCACCGCGCAGCCTGCCAGTCACGATGGTGACAATGTGCCTGCCAAGCGCCCTCGCCTCGCGCCGAAGGGCAAAGGAAAGGGCAAGGCAAAGAGCAGGGGCCCCTCAACTGCGTCAGTGCCCGCTGCCCTGTTGAGCATGGTGGCAGCCACTCCGAAAGGTGCAGCGTTGTGCTTCGACTTTTCCTCGGGCAAGTGCAATAGGCAAGTGACGAATCAGCGATGCGATCGTGGGTTGCATCTCTGTGCCATCAGTGGATGTCACGGTCCGCATGCAGCCATCAACTGCTCCAAGAAGGGGGGGGCTCCTGACTAGGCCCGATGGGCCTGATGAGATGCGTCAGGAAGTGATGGGCGCAGATGTGTACAGTGCAAGCCGCAAAGCCGCTGTAATCCCGCTTCGCGGCAGCGGCGAGACCGTGACGAGGGTCACAAAAAGCGGCGCAATGGCGCAGTAGGAGGCGATGGCCAAGCCCAAGAGCGCCTCAAGTTTTTCAATTGCACGTGATTTCGCTTCGAACCCTTCCGAATCAGCTGCCAGCGACCACTCATGCTATGATTTCAAGCCACTTGGAACTGAGCGTAGTCGCAGCCCAAAGCGATCCGCTCACAGTGCTGTGGCTTCAAGCATCAACCCTGACCTTGAGCGTGCTTTCGCACCCTTGCCTGAGCTTGGGCCTCTTTTCATTGAACTGTGCGCAGGTAGCGCGGTCCTCAGCTCTGAGGCAGCCCGCCGAGGCTACTTGATCATGCCCGTTGGCTGCGCGCGAAATCGGCGCAGAACATGTTGTAGAGTCATAACCCTTGACTTATCTAGTGAGAGTTCCTCGCAACACATACACAAATGTTCGAGATGCCGCTCCACACGTGCGCCCAGAATGCAAATCAGAGCACGTCGAATGTGTGCTCAAAATGACATCGCATTAGAGTTCGCAATGAAACCGAATGACCCGAAGCACGGTGGATGTGTGCTCAAACATGCTGCACGTCGGATGTGTGCAAATCAAACGTGTTCAAATCAACCGAACGCAAACCACTGACTCGCTCAGACGCTTCTTCTTCTTTTTCCGTCACACTGCCAACGGGGGAAAATCGTGAGAGTCCATGCGACTCCCACCCATGCACATCTGCGCCCATCGGTGCCATCTCCACAAGCTTATCTCAGACAACATCTTGCCACTCCCCCGTGCGCTTTAGACAAGACTCCGCAGCATATGGCCCGTGATTGGGCAGAGAGGCTGGGGCGCAAACTGCCCGAGCTCCTTGAGGCAGGCACGGCTGGGACCGTCGCTAATGTTGGACTTGGATGGCACTCGCGCGGCCCACACACAGGTCATGGCCAGCTTGCTGGGGTCCTCAAGAGCCAACAGGAGTTCTCTCCAAGTGTCAACTTCCAATGTTCCTTTCACATACGCGTCCAGCGCGCTCCAGTTGTCAACGAAAATCAAAACTTGCCTGGAAGCGATGGCATGCTTCCAGTGCAACAAGGCTGTCACCATGGCGTACAGCTCCATTATGCCTATGACATGATGCGCACCGTCCCTTCTCCACCTGCCAAGAATTGCCGCTGGATATGGGAGCCGAACACTTCCACCTTTGACTGGTTGTCTGGTGGAAAGAGCACCGTTGCCTCAGACCCAAGCTCTGAAGCTTCTTGCAGAGCCCCGTCAGTGAAAATAACAACCGGGGGGTCTCTCCAAGTAGCCTTAAGAGTTCTAGGCCTGCCGTGGAGGATCCTCTTGCGGAGCTTCTCAACTGCAGCAACACTTTGAGGGCTGGGTACCGGCGCCCGCGAAACATGTCCGAGATTCCGGAGATCATGCAGAGCGATGCTGCCGGCCCGCCCAAAGACTTGGGCATCAGCGTATTGCAGCTTTCCAACAAGGGACGGCAGTTCTGCAGGCGCAACGTGTCCTTTTACGAGCACGCGCTCCAGCTTCGGCGCAAGCTCGTTGACTCTGGAAGACTTATTGCGCGCATGCAAAAGGCCTTTGTGAGACTGTGACACGTCGACAGTCAAACCGAGCATGTCGGCTTGCTCGGCAAAGGGCGCAAGTTTCTCTTTGGAGCACTCAAAGCCTAGCATATGTAACAGCGCCTTAGTCGAGGCCAGAGTGGAAGTGGCCGTGGCAGCATGCGACACCATTGGGAAGTCGTCGAAGTAAGAGCTCCAACAAGTGCCTAAGAGGCATCCGACCGCGTGGAGGAACAGACTCCCCCTCAAGAAGTGTGTTACACTTGCCGTTGCCCCAAATGGCAAGGCCAAGGTGATATAACATTTGAGAGAGTTGGAATCTGGGTTCTTAAGCGTGACCACGGCCTTGTTGTGACCCGCTGGATGCAAAGCAAATTGCTTGTAAGCGGACTTCAGGTCCAACAAGGTGACCCTGAGCTTGGCACTGTGGTGCGCCCATTCGGAGTGAACCGACTTCAAGGTAAACTCCACCCCCCCTGTGAGCAAAGAAGTGAGTGAGCACGTTCATGGACCACAGCAGATGATCCATGGCTTGCAAGGTCACCTTTTCTGCAGAACAGAAGGTTTCGTTCACACGGTTTTTCTCACATCATCAGCCTGAGCTTTTGACCACCGCAAAGCGCCTGACAAGGATTTAGTCAGCACACGCCAAGGCGGCGGACACTTGCTCTGGGGTGAAAGGCCCCTTCAACCAGCCTTTCAGCCCTGGTGATGTCTGCTAATTCTTTGGCGTGTTCGCTAGGCTCTTCAAACGCTACCTTGCCAAGAATTTGGGCCTTGAGCCGAACCTAGTGCCCCACCCAGAGCCGAACCTATTGACCCTTACCCAGAGCCAAGGGATGCTGATGTTGCTGCTGCTGATGCTGTTGTGTCCGAGCTGGGCCGAGGTGCTGCAACGAAAACAAATGCAAATCCCTTTCGAGTAGCAAAGCAGTGCTTGCGTGTCCGGTTGCTGTTCACATGGAACCCTTCTGCACTTCGAGCTCACCATCTTACTGAGCTCAAGTTCGTCAAGCGCTCCAACAGTGAGGCCCGGCTTAAACAGGTGAGAGTTATCGGCACGGCCTACGATCCTGAACCCGTCCATGAACTCAGTTGAGCAGCGATCAAAAAAGCTCAAAGCAATTTAAGCAAGGGAGCGCTGAAATCAATCCGCGCGGAAGGTTTTCTGCAGGCCGCGGAAGCTTGGTAAAGGGCCGGCGGACTTGACTAAGAGATTTGCGCCGCGGAAGGGCGCGGAAGGGTAACATTTTTGGAGCGTCAAACGCGTGTAGAAATATTTTGCTCTCAAGCGATTTGGGCCCAACAGTGGTTTTCGCAAAAAATGTTCGGGCATCGTTTCCGCGCCCCGGGCTTGCAAGCCCGCAAGAGGCACAACTCTGCCAGCAGAGCCCGGAAGGACTTGAGCCTCAAGATTTTGCGCTTTGTGGGATGGCTCCGTATACTTTCCCGAGTCACGCAGGCCTCGTGGAAAGGGCTGGCTGGCCGACATTTACTTTTGAATCGAGGCGAAACACCAGGGCCAAAAAACGATTTGTTCGGGCCCAACAAATCGTTTTTGCTCCCGGGGCTGAAAAACGATTTGTTCGGGCCCAACAAATCGTTTTTGCTCCCGGGGCTGAAAAACGATTTGTTCGGGCCCAACAAATCGCTTTTGCTCCCGGGGCTCAAAAACGATTTGTTCGGGCCCAACAAATCGTTTTTGCCCCCGGGGCTGAAAAACGATTTGTTCGGGCCCAACAAATCGTTTTTGCTCCCAGAACTGAGAAACGATTTGTTCGGGCCCAAGTCGTTTTTGCTCCCGGGGCTGAAAAACGATTTGTTCAGGCCCAACAAATCGTTTTTGCTCCCGGGGCCGAAAAACGATTTGTTCGGGCCCAACAAATCGTTTTTGCTCCCGGGGCTGAAAAACGATTTGTTCGGGCCCAACAAATCGTTTTTGCTCCCGGGGCTTAAAAATGATTTGTTCGGGCCCAACAAGTCGTTTTTGCTCCCGAGGCTGAAAAACGATTTGTTCGGGCCCAACAAATCGTGTTTGCTCCCGGGGCTGAAAAACGATTTGTTCGGGCCCAACAATTGGTTTTGCTTTCGGGGCTGAAAAATCGATTTGTTCGGGCCCAAGAAATCCGGGGCTGAAAAACGATTTGTTCGGGCTCAACAAATCGTTTTTGCTCCCGGGGCTGAAAAACGATTTGTTCGGGCCCAACAAATCGTTTTTGCTCCCGGGGCTGAAAAACAATTTGTTCGGGCCCAACAAATCGTTTTTGCTCCCGGGGCTAAAAAATGATTTGTTCGGGCCCAACAAGTCGTTTTTGCCCCCGGGGCTGAAAAACGATTTGTTCGGGCCCAACAAATCGTTTTTGCTCCCGGGGCTGAAAAACGATTTGTTCGGGCCCAACAATTGGTTTTGCTTTCGGGGCTGAAAAAACGATTTGTTCGGGCCCAAGAAATCCGGGGCTGAAAAACGATTTGTTCCGTTTTTGCTCCCGGGGCTGAAAAACGATTTGTTCGGGCCCAACAAGTTGTTTTTGCTCCCGGGGCTTAAAAACGATTTGTTCGGGCTAAACAAATCTTTTTTGAACCCCGGGCCTTACATGCGTGGAGATTGATGTTGGGCTGAACTCGCGGAACACTGGAGGAAGGTCGCGGAAGGACCGCGGAAGGGTTCCGTGATTTGGATGACTTGTGTGCGATGTGTTGTTCTCGTTGGCCCTGTGCAGGAATCGTAGCCGCGGTGTGTCGTGAGTCTTCACGTATGCGTTGCAAATCTATTGGGATTCGCGTTTCAGGGCTCGTCGTGACCCATAAACCATTTGCCACAGCCGTCTACTGCTCGTAGCAGAAACTGGATGCCTCAAGCACAGGCTCGCAAATCTCTTCAGGGCTTCCCCAGCATGGCTGTTTCACTTACCTGTTTCTAACGTCCAAGCCGCCAAATCCAAAGCCATGGGCCGATCTGGCCTCATCTTCCGTGGATCTAGTTGTGTTGGCTTGGCAAGAAAGAGACGCAAGCCGCGGAAGGCGCGGAAGGGAAATGAGAGTGCGGAAGCAAACGCCCGCAGCGCGGAAGCGCGTGGAAGCACGCGGAAGCGCCAAATGATATCATCGCAATTTGGCCTATTGATTTTGATCACCGCTCAGTTAGGTTGCCTTATCCGGCCAATTAAGCATGTCCATGAAACGTTCCATGAGAGCAAGGTTCTTGCCACACACAATCTGCTTCACATGTGGGTGAAGTTTGCTCTTCAGCTCCTTGTCTCGATTCTCGAGCTCTGAAACCCACCCGCACCATTGATTGAGGCGCTGAATCCTCAGCCTGGACATTTCAAGGGGGGAGCTGCTCGCATATGGTTCTGATGAGACCTGGACCAAATCATCATAAGGGTTGAGCGAAAGAGTCCAAAGATGCACAAAACACTACCGTCCCCCTGTTTCTCGAAACGCAGCAGCTTGCTTCCTGCAGGAATGTGTCTTACAGAGCCACTCAAGCAGCGCTTGCTGTCAAGGGCGGGCAGCGCTGGCAAGCGCACACTAGTCACGCGCAAGTATTCACTGACAAGCTGAGGTCGGAGTCTGCCTCTGGGCTGGCGGTTGGCTCTTGCCAGCACGTGTCGGGATGTTCCAGCGTGCAAACATAACTGTGTCCAGAACGTCGCAAAGCGCTGCGCACCTGGGCTGTGCCTCTTTGGCCGTGCTCAAAGCTCCTGAGGCATCGCGGCCCCAGGCTTCAAAAAGCACATGCCTGGCAATGAGCAAAAGTGGATGTAGCGATCAATGATGCGAAGCACCGCAAGAGCCAGAGCATGGAGCACGCCAAGCTCATTACATTGGTGCAAGAAGGCTGCAAGCTGTTTATAGAGCTGGTTTGCAGCCCTCACTTTGATTGAGTCGCTTGCGGACATGTTGAGCACACCCCAAGGGTGCTGCTGGGTGCGGAGCACAGGAGGGCCCTTGGATCCATCCGCCATTGGAATTATGAATAGGGGCATGGCGAGGCACTAAGTGCTAGGAGTTTTAGCCTACATGGGTGTTCTTGCTCATGAGGACCCTCAGAACAGTCACTTGTGTACATTCTTGGCATTGCCTGCAGTTGTGCGTGCTGCGAGAGCAACCTTACAATTTGGGCATGACATGTTTTCTTTTCTTTAAACACACACCGCGCCAATGCAATGCCATGAATTTTGTGACCCACCCACCCACCCGGAGTGACAAGTGACAAGATGTTGTCTGAGATAAGCTTGTGGAGATGGCACCGATGGGTGCAGATGTGCATGGGTGGGAGTAGCATGGACTCTCACGATTTTCCCCCGTTGGCAGTGTGACGGAAAAAGAAGAAAAAGCGTCTGAGCGAGTCAGTGGTTTGCGTTCGGTTGATTTGAACACGTTTGATTTGCACACATCCGACGTGCAGCATGTTGGAGCACACATCCACCGTGCTTCGGGTCATTCGGTTTCATTGCGAACTCTAACGCATTGTCATTTTGAGCACACATTCGACGTGCTCTGATTTGCATTCTGGGCGCACGTGTGGAGCGCCATCTCAGACATTTATGTATGTATTGCGAGGCAACCCCTAGAGGTGCCCCGACTTCATAATGCTTGATTTTGTTTCGCTTCTCCCTCTCTTTCTCTCTTGATTTTCGTTCATGTGTGTTCATTTTCTTTTTTTCATCATTTGTCTATTATATCTCCGCCCCCTCTCTCTTTTTCTCGCTCTCTCTCTCTCTCTGTTTCTGTGTCTTTATTCCCTTTTATTTCGTTCCTTTCTTTATCTTTGTTGTTTCTGTCGCTCTCTCTACCTCTATCTCTATCTCTATCTCTATCTTTATCTCTTGCTTTCTTGCTTTCTTGCTTTCTTGCTTTCTTTCTTTCTTTCTTTCTTTCTTTCTTTCTTTCTTTCTTTCTTTCTTTCTTTCTTTCTTTCTTTCTTTCTTTCTTTCATTATTTCCTTTTTTATGATTTATTTATTCCTTCTGCCCTTTATTCGTTTCTGTCGTTTCTTCTCTGTTCTTTTTTTCTTGTTTTTCTCTGTCTATCCTTTCCTTCCTCCTCCCTGTGCGTAGGTGCTGCACATCTTGACTGACTTGGGGCTGCCACGGACGTCGGTGCGCTTGGGGGGTCCCCGCAACACATTGGCAGCTCATGCCGCGCTTCTATCTTGCGAAGCACATGTCAAGCACAATGCACCACCCCTCCCCCCTTTTTCCACCTTGTTGCAAGGCCATGGGCTCCAAGCCACGTCACCAGGTGTTCAAAGTTTGTGATTTTTTTCTCTTCAGCATGGTGCCTGTTAAGGGGCTGATTTCAAGTGGGCGATGTCGATGGTTTTGAGCAAGTCGACAGATACCAACAGGGATACCAGTCCAGAGTCATTTTTCTGGCCACACATTCTTAGATCATGCAACATCGACTGGAGGTTACCGTTTTGCTGCGTTGGTTTCAGTAGTGACACGTGTTCAGTCGAAGGCAAGCCACACTCAACAACGAGTTGGACTGCCGCAGCTGCAGGGGTTGCTCGTGTTTGTTTCGGTTGAGGCTTGATACAACACGGTTGCAGTTGCTGGAGTCTGACGACTTTGTTGTAACAGGGCCCGCGTGAGAGGCCGAGTGAAGTTGCTAATGGAACTGGCGGCGTCTTTCTGCCAGGTGCCGTCTAAGATCCGGGCGGTGGCAGTGGCCGGTGTTGCAGGAGGAAGATGGCAGGAGGGGCTGGGAAGTTGAATGCGGAAATGCAATTTAATTATGCAGGCAAATTGTCACCGTAGGTCAACTTCGGAGCGCTTGCTGCATGCGCTTCTACGGAGAAGGGTCGTTGAAAAGGCACGTCGCGCCAGATGCAGCTGTGCCGAGTCCCGACTGATTTGATCTCTAAAGAAATTGCTTAACCTCGAGCTTAACCTTAGTGACGTTTGAGAGTGCCCCCCTTCTCGATGTGTTTGTGCGACTGTTTGAGCTTTCTAGGCCGTGCGACTGTCAGACGCAGCTGTACTCAGCTCAGGCAGTTCACAGGGCTGCCGCGGTGCAAAAACAAAGCTTAGGGCAAAACCACGCCAAGACAGCACTCGTTCAATCATTCGCAGCCAGCCATGGCTTCCCTCGCCCGCCGTGGTGCCTCATGAGCCAAGAGGCCGAGCAGAACCTGGAGGGCGTGAATCAGGTGAAGATTTCGGAGATCGAGGACCTCCCTGACAAGAGCCAAGCAAGTGCCAAAGGCGCCATGGACACCAAAGCCGCGGCGGACGTCGCCCGCACCGTGAGTGCCCCTTCGACCAACTTTGTTCGCTTGCAGTCCTTCTTGAATAATAAGTATGACGCGCCGGGATGGAGAGGGCGACTTGAACGGCTCCTCAGATCCACAAAGTACGATGTGTGCACCGGCATCATCATCATTGTGGATGTGGGCCTGAACTGGTATGATATTGACCTCAGGGCGTCAGGCGTGGAGACCCCACCATGGCAGGAATGGGCTGCTTCATTCTGCCTGGTTATTTATTCGGCGGAAATGACTGCGTTCACAGTTTTGCGGGGCCGACGTGTCCTGCATGACATGGGGTTCCTTCTTGACCTCCTGATTGTAGCATCTGGCGTGGCACAGATTATTCTCGAGGCCGCGGGCATATCCGTGGACCAATTTACCCTGCTGCGCGTGCTGCAGCTAGATTGCATTGAGATCCGCGCCCCCTAATGTATTGGGGGCGTCGCATCCTTTTCGGGGGGGCACTGCTGAATACTGTTCCCGTTGTCTCCCTTGGTGGGGACGTGGAAACATATGTTTGCGTCATATAAATTAGCTCAATCAATCACCGAAAGCAAACACGACTTGATGGGTGGAAAATGTCCAGTTTATTACAATGATTACAAGCTAAGCTAGGATTGCAGCGGGCAAGCGCCCAACCGCACGTATCTAAGAGAATCTTTGAGCAACGCCCCAATCTCTCAGTCTGTGTATGTGCGTGTGTCGAATTTGTTTATTTGATTTTATTTGTGATTCTTTAGATTTATTCCCCAAACAGCATAACTGTTGGGGTTCTCTATTCACGCAAAGGATTGCTCCTGCTGTCTCGCACTGACTTGTCTCCCGACTTGTCTCCCCACTTGTCTCCCTGCTTGTGCTTGGTGGCTGGGACCTTGCCACAGCTTGTCTCCCACTTGTTTCTCCACTTGTCTCAGACCTGGCAGCTCACTTCTTTCAGGTTAGGGCAACAGCTAAGTTTTGTGGCGCTCCTTGCTTGGCTTACAACGTTTCTTCTCCCTTGTTTGCTAATCAGCTGGTGCTAATGCGGGATTGCCAAGCCCTCGCAGCTGAGGAGGGTAGTCCGCATCATGCGGCTCTTCCGCTTGTTCCGCAAGTTTCGAATGCTGAAGGCCGGGGCTGGGGGATGTCAGGCAGCCGTTGAAGTCCTTGCTGGCCACATGTGGCCATCTCATTTGAGACTTTGCCTTGACAACTTGGGGAGATGTGCTCGATTTGCTCCTAGCCCCGCTGGCAGAATCAGGCTAGCAAACTTATTTGCTTGGATGTGACAGGCTCGATCGCATGAGGCAACTTTGCTTTTGACGTGGAGCTTTTGTGCTGAAAAGGGGGTGTAGCAGTGTAGCATGAATGAGCTGCATATGCACATGGCCAACAGCTTCTCAACGTGAGACCGGAAGCTGTGAGGGTTGAACCTGAGGAGCTCCGGAAGCTTCTCAAAATGACTGGCCTTTGCTTCAAGATTCCTGGCTTCAGACGGGCAAAGGCACTTTTGCAGAGATTCGGAGACGCCTTCTGGTGCTTGAATGTTTCCCTGTTTCCTTTCACGAAGGGCATGCTTCAATCATGCTTCTGACGATGCAGTGATGTCATTCTGAGCTTCATAAGCTGACTGTGGTTGCAACACGGGCAGCTTTGTGGGGTCGAATCAGGGGTGGCTTGTGGTGCACCTGACCGCTGGAATGAGCATTGAACATCTGGAAAGTCAGAGCAAATGACAGGCGTTGCTTTGTTCTCCGGGGCCTTGGTGTTCTTTTGTTGCTTTCCAGTGAGGACGCTGTGTTGGTCCTTTCTGTTCTGCTTCGTGATCATGACCTCCTGGGCGATGCTGGCGGTGGAGTTGCTGAACCCACTAATGCCTGACATGGTCGATCTTGGGATTTGGCAGGACCTGGAGGGAGCCTCTCAGCTTCGTTTCTTTTTGTAGGCTCCTTGGGCAAAAGCCCAAGGGGTCCTAGGCTGCAGCCGGTAGCAATCAGCTGGCAAAGCTGATTGACGGACCAAAACATGAAAAGCAACATTGAAGGATGCATGCCACATCGGCATAATGTCGAGTGCCCTTGAAAATCCATCGCACCCTCCCTCGGGCAAGAAGAAACGGCACATTGATTGTGGCTCAATGTGGCAAAATCTCGCAGCGGCAAAGCTGTGGGTCCCAGTGTGAAGAAGAGCAAAGGCCTTGGCAAAGTCACTTTGACTGTTTCGCGTAAAGGCCAAACAACTGGTTTCGTTTCTCTTTAACCTACCATTGAATGGGGATGACTTTGTTTGTCAAATCATGATTTTGTTTTGTTGTGCAGGATTGCGAATTCTGCGCGAAGTCGTTGCAGTCGGTCTTTTTCGCCAACCTGCTGATTTTCAAGACCGTGGTGGCTGGTGACAGCTGGGGTGATGTTGCTGTGCCCCTGATTGAACACCATCCCTGGCTGGCGACAGGTATATTTGTCGGCTCGCACCTCACTATAGTCTTTGGAATCTTGAACCTGGTGGTGGCTGTTGTTGTCGACACTTTTGCAGAACAGCGGATGCGGGATGTGACTTCCATGGCCATGGACATGGAGGAAGATGCAGAGGATGACCTGAGAGCTCTTGACCGGATGTTCCTTGAAATTGACGCCAACCAGGATGGGACGCTGACTTTCGATGAGCTTCTTGAAGGAGCCCGCAGGGTCCGGGAGTTTCAGAATCGCCTGCGTGTAATGGACATTGACCAGAATGATTTGGAGCAGCTGTTTCTCATGCTTGATCATGACGGCGGCGGGACCATCGATCCTGACGAGTTCAAGAAGACTCTCTCTAGATGGGCGGCTTGACACATTGTGAGGCAGCCGATGCTTGCACAATCAGGTCCACGTTTCAATCACAGAACAGCCTGTGTGTGCAACAGTTTGAATCCAATATTTTGAGTGAGGCCCTTCGAATCAAACATAACGAACCGAAGTCAATGAACGTGGGATTCGCAATTTACGTGCGGCCTAAGGCCTTTGACTCCAAGACCGCCACGCGGTTTGTGCGCTACAACCTTCAGCAGCTGATGACTGAGCACAGCAACGCTGCAGAGAAGATAGCGCAGATGGAATCCAGGTTGGAATCTGTGCTGGCCTCAGGGTCACAGGCCCTCTGCAAGCTTGAGCCTTTTGGGCTTGTCTCAAATAGAGGACCCTCAAAAAGTGGTGGATCCCCATTCCTTCCTCCTTCATCCACAAAAAAATCAAACAAAACAACCAATGAGCCACCCATTTTGCCACGTGCCACGCGCGCGTGCGCGTTGTGGTGAGGCGATCAGCGCCACAGAGCGTCGAGTCAGCCAGCGGAAGAAGTCCACAAGACGCAAGCGGAAATCCAGCGACTTGCCATCGAACGCGTAGTGTTTGCAAGGGTTCCCCTCTGCTTTTTTTTCCCTATCCTTATTATTAGTAATTAGTAGACAAGTTACATGTGTGTGTGTGTGTGTCAAAAGGGGCCCCTAAAGGGGGGGCCAGAAGAATATTCCTCCGGAAATTGTCTTTTCGCCTCCATGTTAGTGTTACTTTTGGGGAGCCCAAAGCAACACCACCCGCTTCCCGCAATTTTTGAGACCTTGCCGGGGGTGGGGGGCAACAGACATGGCAGCTTTTGAGAAGAGCAGCTGATTTGTGGACCATGGCGAGTTTTGCTTCCCCAAGGGTAGGATTGGGGAAAGCTCATTGGCTGCGGCTGTGCCTGAAAATTAGAGATGCTACCGGGCTGTGCCTGTCGATTGATCCTTGGATGGCATCTTTGAGCCCGTCCAACAGCCCCTAGACGACAAGTGGGGCTGTTCTGGTTTTTGAGTACCCTTGTTGCGGCTGCTTTGAAGGGAAGCCAAAGGGAGAACCAGCTTTTCTGGGATCCCCTACTTTCAGTCACACCCAAGTGTACATTGTGCTGCCGTGCCTCGGTTGTTGCTCCCCATTTGGCAGACCGACTTGCTCAGGACCTGCCGGCCCGCCTGAGTGAAGCCGTCATGGCCTCGTGAGGGCTCACATTGAGCGATGTGCGCTGGCAACATGTATTTTGACCGTTTGACCGGTTGGTATCTAAGCCTGCCTCAACCCAATCCGGAAGTGTGGCATTGATCTTCCAATCGACGGGGCGCTTGCCGGCTCCTAGTTGCTAAGCTGACCAGCTACCTATGCCGCAACCCAGCATCAGTTCCCAAGCAACGGATCTGCTGTGGCGGTAGTATCATCACATTCGTGATGGGCATGTGCCTTTTTCGGCTTCCAGGCCGGCTTCTGCTGTGCAGTGACAGATTGTACTTCCAGGCCAATTATAGATTTCGACCAGTTGGGCCCCTTTTTGGCATTCTTATAGGGTTGATTTACAGCTAGGGACATCAGTTTGTTTGCCTGAAGATTGTTTAGTCTGAAGACTGTCCCTGTCACCCGTCAACCTTGTTTGCGTAGGATGAGGCAGCATCGTTTCTCCTAGCTGGGCAACCCACCAGGAGCAGTGGTACTGCTATGCGAAAATTCATTCGAAGTCTCAATTAGTTGCCGCAAATCGCGAAGTGAGGCAATGCCTGGAGTGCTTCGAGATAGCAAGCGATTCTTGTCCATGCTTCACCCATTTGCGCATTCGTGACCAAAAGCCTGCCTCGCGCTCGAAGAGCAATGGTTCGTTGAATTTGTGCAAAGCGCACTCCCGACTTGGACAGGCAATTTCATGAGGACCTTGCAGCCTCAATGTGGCTCAACGCATCTAAACACTCAAATTGTCCACCTAAGTAGCACGCCAAGCCATGCGATTTGGTGCGCAGACGAGACGCACCAATGAAGGCCGACAAGATATACTCGAGAAGTCCCTGATACCGTGCAAGACTTCCCTTAGATGCACGTGCTTGCATGCCGCACCAGCTCATGGACGAGGCACTGGTCGTTTGAGTCGGAGAGGTCAAGAGGGAGCCGGGTGCTTCATGCAATCCAAAAATTGGGAATGAACGTGAAAACCGGGAATTGGAGACGACCGCCGGGTTTCATGTCATACTGTATATACTGTTTTTGCGTGCCTTTGGAATTTGCATATGCTGGATGCAGTCGTGAAAAGGTGGGTTCCCGCTTGTCAGGCAAAGCCGCTCGAGGCGTGGAACTGGAGATGACACCCAGCGGGTCATTAGTGTCAGGTAGCTCGGGAATCGATTGTTTGGATTGGTGGTTTGGATTTGGATTTGAACCCCTGGCTCTTGGAAAGGGGAAAACCAGCCCTCAGCTCCAAACCACCAATCCAAAACGCCAGAACTGGTGGGGAAGTCGCAGCCACCTATGAACCACGGCTTGCCACGACATTCCATGAGGGTGCAGGCTACAAGTAACTTTGCTAGATCCAGCGACAGTTGTGTTCTTGCATCGCAGGTGGCAGCCCATTTTTCTCCGCAGCGCGCGCTCTTCCGCCGGCGCCAGCCTAAAGAGAAAAGTTAGAATGTGAGCAGACACCATGTACTTCCACCGAGGAAGCGTGCAGGATGCGGATGCAGACCGGCCACTCAGTATGCGGGGCTTGCTGATTTGTAACATTTTTTGCAGACCCTTTGTACATCTGCATGGGTGGTGGTAGATGCGGATCTTTTGGGTCTATGTCGCGGTTTTGGTTGTTGCCACGTTTGTTTTGTTTTTTTCCAGGAAATCTAACTTCTAATCGATAGTGACGGCCGGGTGCCGGAGGGCATGCAGTTTGGGGTGCTGACGGCGTGGGCGCATTTTGGTTGAGATTGACGGCAGAGTGCCAGCGGTGTCTATTTTGCAATGCAGTCAGGGTTCTCTTGTGCGTGCTGGTCAGGGTGCCTGTGGTGGTTGCTTATGGTGCTTGTTTTACGATGCAACCTGATTGCTGTTGTGGGTGATGGTTAAGCTGCTGCTGCAAGTGCTGGTCAGGGCGCAGTTTTGATGGTGATTGCCGGCAGTGCTTGTTTGGCGATGCAGTTGGGCTAGTCAGGGTGCTGGTCAGAGTGCTTTCGCTAGCATGGCAACTGCTGGCTGTTGCGGGTGCTGGTTTGGGCGCTGGTCGGCTGGTCGGGTGCTTTGGCTGTTGGTGGTACTTGCGGAAGCTAACCAGGCTGCTGCTTGGTGTGCTTAAGGTGGTGTGGTGGTTGCTAGCACGTCGTCAGGGTGCTGGTCCAGGTGCTGTTGAAATCTCCCATGCGGGGTCTTTTCTAGTTTTGCAGTCTCTGTTGGACCCTGGGTGGACCAGGCAACTACTTTTGGTGGTTTGCAGCTAAGTTGAAATAGCCCCTATCAGCAGGCCATCCAAGAAACCCCCCATGAGTAAGTTGGGCTGCGGGCTGGTCATGGCTGTGCCGTCCATGGCTAAATTCTGTGCTGTGGGTTGAGGAGCCGCCTGGCAGCGGAGGGCAAACAGGCCAGATTAGAGAGAGCGTTATGGTGCTCAGAAAGAGCCAGCTAGCATGGAGCTCCGGGAATTTGCAAGATGAAGCTGCTCCTGATGCGACAGGCTCCAAAGCACTGCTGATACCCTAGTTTGATATTTGGTCCCAGCTTGTTGCCATGTGTGCAGCTTGCTATGCCGGGTTTGCCAAGGTTTGTCCTGCCCTTGTTCCGCAAGCCGGCGTTTCCAAACTTCTACCAGGTGCTGCAGGCACGCAGCTTTCCTTTTGTCAGTGGCACTGGCACGCTGCCTTGCTTGCCGGGCCGCACTGAGTAGTGAACCAAATACCCAAGCCAGGTTGCAGATGCCTCAGTCATGGAGCTGGTGGTGGCTCTCAGAAAGCCCTCGGCTTACATCACCTCACTTGCGAAGCGGCCAGAAAGCGCTCTTCACGATTTTGCGCGACGTGGCAACAGCTTTGCATGTTTGAGCCATAGCGACGCCCAGGAATAATCAAATCCAATACCTCGGAGGGTTTATGACCAAAGCTCCCCCGCAGGCAGGGCCGCGGGTGCAAGAAATGCCCGGGGTGGCGTTCAGTTGCACTTTTCGGATGAGCCCGCCCTGTTAGTGAAGCCTCAGCTGGCATTATAGTAGTTGTTTTCATGCAGTTCTTTCGTCAAGCCTTTCGCTGCTTTGACGAACCCGGTTGAAGTAGTTTGCGGCTCATCGATTTTCCCAAAAGCTGGCCTCGAAGAGGCTTTGCTTGAGGTTTGTCTTTGGGGGGAGGGGGGCGACAAGATTGTGGGCGCAAAGGGGAGCTGACGGTCGCGTTGGAACCTGGCAAAATGATGGGGGTGGGCCCACTGGAGAACAGTCCGGGCTGGACTGTTTGGGCACGACTGGGGCTTTGCATATTGCCCGGGCGTATGCTATGTCGTTTGTCTAGATTTGCTATTTCGACGCTCCTCTTTTGTCTGGATAGACTGGTTT